CTAGTCTGACAATTTCTGCATTTTAATTAGTGTGTTTATATTTAATGTAGTTGCTGATATGGTTGGGCTGAAGCCTACGTCTGTTTTTTCTTTCTCCTGCCTTATTTATTTAAAATTTAAAAAATAATAAAAAAATAAAATTTTTTAAATTGTTCATTTAAATGAAAATTTTAATTGTTTATTTAAGTGGACAATGATAATTTTTCATTTAAAACTTAGCTTACATAGAAAGTTTTAAAATTTACATTTTATTTCCTGTATTGACTCTTCAGCTCTATACTTTTTGTATTTTTAAAATTGTCCTTCTTGGGGCACCTGGGTGGCTTAGTCGGTTAAGCGTCCGACTTTCGCTTAGGTCATGATCTCGCGGTTCGTGGGTTCGAGCCCCGAGTCGGGCTCTGTGCTGACTGCCAGCTCAGAGCCTGGAGCCTGTTTCAGTCTGTGACTCCCTCTCTCTCTGACCCTCCCCTGCTCACGCTGTCTCTCTCTCTCTCCTAGAAATAAATTTTAAAAAATATTTTTAGAAAATAAATAAATAAAATAAAAATAAAAAATAAAATTGTCCTTCTAGGGGCACCCAGGTGACCTATATGTGGTCTATTTTTAACAAACCAACTCAGTTGGTTGAGTGGCTGACTCTTGATTTTGGCTTAGGTTATGATCTCACAGTTTTGTGGGTTTGGATCCTGTGTTGGGCTCCATGCTATCAGCAGGATCCTCTTTTTCTCTGTGCCCCTCTTTTGCTCGTGCATCCTCACTTGCTCGCTCTCTCTCTCTCAAAATAAATAAACTTAAAAAAATTGTTATTCTAGGAAGTACAATATACATCATTAATTTATTACCTATTTAGTTCTATTGTAGCACTTCATGTTAGGTATAAGAAAAAACAAGGGAGCCTAGGTGGCTCAGTCTGTTGGGTGGCCAACTTCGGCTCAGGTCATGATCTAACAGTTCGTGGGTTTAAGCCCCGCATTGGGCTCTGTGCTGACAGCTAGCTCAGAGCCTGGAGCCTGTTTCAGATTCTGTGTTTCCCTGTCTCTCTGGCCCTCCCCTGCTCATGTTGTCTGTCTCTCTCAGAAGTAAATAAAACATTAAAAAATTTTTAAAATATATGTAAAAATAGTAGAATTCCTTTCCTCTCTATCCTTGAAAGTTATTTGTTGTCCTACATTTTACCCATGTAATGTTACTGTTTTTGCTTTAAACAGAGTTCTTTATTAAAAATTAACAGAAGAAAAAAAAACCTTTTATATTTACTCACTTATTTTCCATATTTAATATTCTTTGTTCCTTCCTATAAATCTGAGTTTTCATCTGTATGCTTTCAGCCTGAAGAAGATCCTTTGACATTTTTATAGTGTAAGTCATCTGGAGATGAATTATCTCTGCTTTTGTTTATGGTTCTTTCACTCTCTCTCTCATTTCTAAAGGACCTTGTCCTGGCAGTGCCTGGGTGGCTCAGTCCATTAAGCGTCCAAGTCTTAGTTTCAGTTCAGGCGATGGTCCCCCAGTTCCTGGGTTTGAGCCCTGGGTCAGGCTCCATGATGACAGTACAGAGCCTGCTTGGGATTTTCTCTCCTCCCTCTCTGCCCCTCCCCTGCTCATGCTCACTCTTGCTCACTCACTCTCTCTCAAAATAAATAAATAAACTTAAAAAAAAAAGAGGACCTTTTCCTGGATATAGAACAATGAATTGATTTTCCACTCCTCACTCCCAAGTCTTTTAAAGACATTCTTCCCTTGTCTTCTGGCCTCCATTATTTCTGCTGTAAAGTCACCCATCATTTGTATTACTCTTCCCCTGAATGTAATCCGTCTCTTCCTTTGCCTTTAAGATGTTTTTATGAAGCTTTAGTTTTCAACAGTTTGGAGTGTGATATGTTTTAAGTGTAGTTTTCTTGTGTTTACCCTGCTTGGAATTAGTTGAGCTAACTTGAATCTGAGGTGTTTCCCCCTCCCTCACCAAATTTGGAAAGTCTTTTACTATTATTTCTTTAAATAATTTATCTGTCCTATATCCTTTCTTCTCTCCTTCTAAGACTCTAATTACACAATGTTAGACTACATAATATTGTCCCACAGATCACTGACACTCTGTTTAGGTTTTTTCTATTATTTTTCTCTCTGTTTTTCAGATTGGCTACTTTCTATTGATCTTTCAGGAGAAAGTCTTCAGTGGTCTCTTTCCTTCACTTTCTCATTTACAGCTCATCCAGTAATTTTTTCTCCTTCAGCTATGGTACTTTTCAGGTCTAGAATTTTCTTTTTTTTTTTTTTTTCCAACTGTGGTAAAACATAATATAAAACTTAGCATATTGGTAATTTTTAAGTATACAATTCAGTGGCATTAAGCACAGTTGCAGTATTATGTAGCCATCACCACTATCCATTTCCAGAACATTTTCATCATTCCAGACAGAAATTCTGTATCCATTAAACATTGACTTCCCACTTCCATCTACTCTTAGCCCCTGGGAACCTCTCATCTACTCTCTGTCTCTGAATTTGGCTATTCTAAGTATCTCATATACATGGAATTGTATAATAGTAAACCTTTAGTGTCTGGCTTATTTTACTTAGCATAATGTTCCCAAGGTTTATCTGTGTTGTAACATGTATAAGAATTTCATTCCTTTTTATGGCTGAATAATGTTCCATTATATATGCCACCATTTGTTTATGCATCTGAATGTTCATGGGACACTTGGGTTATTTCTACCTTTTAGCTATTGTGAATAATGCTGCTGTGAACATCGGTGTACATACATCTATTTGCATTCCTTCTTTTAGTTCTTTTGGTTACGTACCTAGAAGTGGAATGCACTGAATCATTCGGTAATTCTACATTTACTTTTTGAGGAGCCATCACATCTATTTGCTTCCTTTTTGTAGTTTCTTCCAAGATTCCTTGTCTAGTAGCTAATTTTCTTCATCTTTTAAGTACACAAACTTGGGGTGCCTCGGTGGCTCAGTCAGTTGGCTTAGTCAGACTCAATTTTGGCTCAGGTCATGATCTCCTGGTTTGTGAGTTCAAGCCCCACATTTGGCTCTACTGAAAGCATGGAGCCTGCTTGGGATTCTCTCTCCTCTCTCTGCCCCTCTCCTGCTCTCGTTCTTTCTCTCTCAAAATAAATAAAACTTTTTAAAAAATAAGTACACAAACTTATTTATAATAACTTTATAAGTGTTTGCTGATTCCAACATTTGGGTCATTGTCTTTGTTGACAGCTATTTTCCTTTAAAGGGTTTTGCATTTTATTCTGTCAGGCAATAGTTGCTGTTTCTTCTGGTGGTTCCTATTGATCCTATCAGGTATGGTTCTGTTCTTCGTGTGTGTGTGTGTGTGTGTGTGTGTGTGTGTGTGTGTGAAGATTTTATTTTTTAAATAATCTCTATATCCACCATGGTATTTGAACTTATCGCACTGAAATCAAGAATTGCATATTCTATCAACTGAGCCAGCCAGGCACCTCATGTCTGAGGCTTTTTAAATTTTATCTTCAGTATTAGGGCTTGGGTCTTACTACTGAAACTTAGCCTTTCTGAATTCTGAGGTTCTCAGCAAAGTCTCTCCATTCAGGCTGGGCCAGAACTCAATCTCCCCGCCCTTTCCAACCTCTCTGGTCATTTCCATCCAGCTATCAGCCCTGAAGCAACCACTGTGCTAGGCCTCACAGAGCCTACCTGTTACAGTCTTAAATGTGGATGGAGCAGACTCACATAGAAGTTTGGGTGTTCCACCTTATGTGTAAGGTGTCTGTGAGCATGCCTCTGGGGCAGGGCAAGTTCTCCACCTGCCAGGTTCAGGAAGGCCACATGTGTCCATATAGTCTTTCCCCCACTGCAAGTCTTCAGCTCTAGTCTTTACCTCAGTTCTGTGAAACTGTGCTGCTCTGCTCGGACTCCCTCCCCCTGCCCCCACTGTTCAGAACGTGCCCTCAGCCAGAAAGCTTGGGCAGCCAGGGAGCTCACCTTACTTATTTCTCATCTCTAAGGATCACTTGCCTGTTGTCCAGGGCTGAAAACAGTTGCATCATATACCATGATTTTACTAATGCACAGCTCCTAATGGCTTGCATTAGTAGTTGCAACTAGTTGACTAGTTGTTCCAGTGGTGCTTTTGTAGGATTTGATGTCATGGTGAGCAGGAAGTCCTAGGCAGAGGTGACAAAGCAGTGGTTTTCAAACCTGTCTCTTTGTCTACCTCACCTGGAACACCTGTTTTCAATGTTTCCAGCAGCCCACTTCAGACCTACCATTTCCTGGGGCCACAGTCAGTCCCAGAGGCCTGGCATCTGTTTTCAACCACTTCTCCCAGGGATTTGTGTAGCATCAACCTGGCTGGTCAGAATGGACTAGAAAGGCTTTCACTAATGATCATTTAGCACTGAGTAATTCAGTATGGAACTGAACTGATGAAGAGCCAGGGTCTCAAAGATCGTCTTTTTCACACTGTGTGAATGCTTACCTGACAACCAGAAATCACTTGGAGAGTATTGCGTTGTCTGTGGTGTTTCTTGGTTACTGCTGTCTGTTTTCCTTGTCTTTCTCTTTTCTTTCACCTATCTCAACTTATTCGCCTCTTTTTTTTTTTTTAATGTTTATTTTTGCAAGAGAGACAGAGCACAAGTAGGGGGAGGGCATAGAGAAAGGAAGACACAGAATCTGAAGCAAGCTCCAGGCCCCAAGCTTGTCATCATAGAGCCTGACGTGAGGCTCAAACCCATGAACCATGAGATCATGACCTGAGCCAAAGTTAGATGCTCAACCAACTGAGCCACCCAGGTGCCCCATCAACTTATTCAATAGCATAAGAGGAAAAATCCAATTATTTGGAACTTCCCTTTTTTTTTTTTTGTAGTTGCTTTGTTTTATTTTAAGTCTGTTATTATATTTTCTATTTTTTTTTTTTTTTNTTTTTTTTTTTTTGTAGTTGCTTTGTTTTATTTTAAGTCTGTTATTATTTTTTTTTTTTTTTTTTTTTTTTTTTTTTTCTTCAGGGAGACGTTGGAGAGGCAAGTATTTGCTATTTGGTGGCAGAAGATGTTTCAGCATCGGGAAGACCGCCTGACAGAGAGAATGGTAAGTGGCCATCTCTGAGGAGGCCGGACCTGCTTCAAGCCTTTACACTCACTGCCTCTTCTGCTCTGGATGTTCCCTGGAACCCAGACCCATACTGAGGGGCGTCCTGCCTATGACCAGGACTCATGAGACAGGGCAGGGAATAGGGTGCCTATTGACTTTGTGGCTTTGATATGTGGCTTCTGGGCCAGTGCAGCTTGTTAAGGCCCATGTCTTTGGCCTGTAGATTCTTCTTGGCTCCTGTACCCCCTGCTACTTGACCCACTCTGTCCTCTCCCTGCTGTCCTGCCCCAGGCCATCCTTCATTCAGAGCAGGAGCTTCTGCGAAGGTCCTGGTCCACGTGGCACCAGCGGGCAGCAAGATGTCACCAGGAGCGGCAGCAGCAAGCAGTGGCCTGTGCCTACCACCACCACAGACGGCTCAGGAAGGCTTTTTCCATCTGGAGGGAGAGTGCCCGAGGGCTCAGAACAGAGTGAGGGCCTGTTGCTGGCCTAGACCATCAGCTCTGAGTGCCCATCAGAGGGTCTTGCTTATTAGCCTAGACTCTGGTTTTAAGTTCCAGAAATCCTACCTGATACAGTCTATGCAAAACCAGGCCTGTAGTGAAAGGATCCTAGGGTACCTCATGGAGCTCCCAGCCTCAGGAACTCAACTAGGGAGAGACCTACTCCATTGATCTGAGGTCGTATCCATTGGATGCATCCTGCTCACTGGTAGGGGCCCATTCAAAGTGACCGTAGCCAGGGAGTAGTGTGATGAGCCCGTTTCAGGATAGCTGACCCCCCCAGGACCAGCAGCTGTGGCCTGGGAGCAGGCTGTGGCAGTTTTTACCAAGCCATGTGGTTAGAGCCAGGGCAGACAGCCCACATGGATACTGCAGACACTGTTCTGCTTTGATGCCTTTCTGCACCCAATTTGTGCTGTGAGGATCTCCCCCACTCTCAAATTTTGACCACATTTAACCTCCTCCTAAGTTGCCCGCACATGAATGCGCTTGAGTGGTACTTGAGCACTTTAGTTGTTTGCAAAAGTTGTTTTTTTTTTTTAATGTGTATGCATGCGTGTGTGTGTGTGTCTATGTGTACATTTACTTTTTTAAAAAATTTTTTAATGTTTTATTTATTTCTGAGAGAAAGAGCATGAGCAAGGGAGGGTCAGAGAGAAAGGGAGACAAAGAATCTGAAACAGGCTCCAGGCTCTGAGCTGGCTCCCATGAACCATGAGATCATGACCTGAGCCAAAGTCGACCGCTTAACCCACTGAGCCACCCAGATGCCCCTGTTTGCAAAAATTTGATGAGGTGCTCACTTTCCTGACAGGAGAGCCCACATCCTTTGGCAGGTCTTCAGAGGTCTTGATCCCCCTCTCCCCCAATTTAAGAACCACTAGGTAGGGGTCGGGAACTATAAGGGGTACCTATCAAGAGGGCCCTGGCCGGGTCCAGACTGCCATGCTGATTCCAACCTTCCCCATAGGACAATGGGTCTAATGGTGGCTGCAGAATTCCACTCTGCACGGCTCCTCCACTGGGCCTGGAACAGGTGGAGGGAGGTAAGGCTTTGGCACAGACGCCCCGCATGTGGTTGTGGCTAGGCAAAGCTATGTGTTAGCATGACTCAGAGCGGACATATGGTTTCTCTGTGGCCTCTTGGCAGCCACCTGCCACTGAGTATGGGGGAGAGGCCAGGCAGCAGAGAAGCAGGCACTAACCTGGTTTTGTGAGGTGATTGGCTCAAAGTCCCTAAAATTCTTTTAGATTCTTGCTTGAACCCACTGAACACAAAATTCCTGGTCTAACCATCTACAGGCATCCTAGTCAGGGTAAAAAGTATTTAGACCATCACCATTGCCTGAGCATTTACCTCGAGTCAGGCACTTGCCCCACCTGATCCTCACAAAGCCTCTAAGAGATATCTATTCAGAAATGAGGACTTGGGGCTGAGCACCCAAGCTGGCTGTAAGACACAGGCACAGCTGAGCCATCTCTGGGCCCCTGGCCCTCCCTTCTGTCCACAGTGCCTGGCCCTGCGTGGTTCCGAGCGGCGGGAGCTGACGCGTGCCAGCCTGCATCACCAGCACACCTTGATGCACAGGGCGCTGTACGCATGGGGGGTAGGGGCTGCTGCTTTCCTCAACGTCCCTCCTCCCCTTGTGGCGGGAGGGCAGGGGATGCTGGAGTCTTCGCTTCCCTTCCTTGTTCTCCCTGCCACTCCCAGAGCAAGTAATTCCACAAGCCTCACACAGAGCAAGGTCCCTCGACTGTGAGTCTTATGTCCACAGGGCTGAGCTCTTTTAACCTCGCTCAGCAAAGTAAAAACAATTGGTGTTGGGGGTACCAGCCTTACCGTCCAAGTGGCCTCTTGTCCGGGAGTCCAGTGGCTTGACGTTATTAGGTGAGGATTTAGCAAGACCATTCTCCCCCGGTTGTCTGGGCACTCTTCTGGCCTTGGGATCCTGGGCTCTTGGCCTCTGCCCCCATCTGTGATGAGTGCTCTGGGCATCACAGCACCTGTGAGGCCTGCCTGGCCATAGGGAGTGGTGTGGGCCCACCACTGACTTCTAGTCCTCTTGGTCTCCCACAGACTTACCAGAGGCAGGTGCAAAGCATCCTACAGGAGGTGGCGGCCAGGGAGAGCCAGCACAAGAGGCAGCTGCTATGGTGAGTCTCGGCATCTCTGGGCCCAGCCCGAGGAACGGGGACAGACTCCAGAGCCAGGCCAGCTGCTTACAGCATGGCTTTGGCGTTTCCACAGCAAACACCCCATTCGTTGGTTCATCTCCTGTCTCGAAGCCCTGCTGTGTGCAGAATGTAGCCTTGAGGAGGCAGCTGTCACCTGGACATCTGCGAGAGCTCCCACTTGCCTTATTCCTCTCAACACTGCTCCCTCCCCTGCAAGATTGAGCACCTCCTGCTCCAGAGCTGCAGTGGCTTCCTTCACCTCAGCCCCCTCTCACCTGCCTTCCTGCTTGGTCCTCCAGGCCTTTCACTGATTCCAGAGGCATCTCTCACACCCTATTGTCACCTGCTCTCTCAGCTCTAGCTCCATCATGAGCCCATCCTCCAGCTCTTGATAAACCAGACCCTACACTCAACTGCTTTCCAGCAGACCTCCCTCATTCTGCTCTTTCTTTTCTTTCCTCTGGATTTGTTTAGCACATCGTATTCCAGGCTGCCTGTCAGTGGTGGGTCTTGTGGACTTAACCTTGTACCTTGTACCTTGATTGAGGAATGAGCTGAAGAACCAGAAATGATTCGTGGAAACCTTGCACTGTCTCTCCACACTGGTGTCACCCTCATCTCCCTGGCCTGTGTTCCTACAGGAGCATGTTCCATCGTTGGAGAAAGAACACCATGGCCCGTGTGATTGAAGCAAAGAAAACCTCCCAAGCAAGTGCTCACTATAGGCGGACCTTGTGTTCCAAGGTGAGGCATGAGGAGACCAGCTGGTCACCCAGAAGGGTTTGGGACCGTGCTTCTGCAAGGGGGTGGCACCAAAGATTTGCACTGAACGTGGAACCTGAGAAACAGGCTAACTCACCCTCCTCTACACATACATTAACAACCATGTGAGCATTTACTTGGGTTTTATTTATTAACTTTTTTTTACTGAATTATGAACCAATATCCATTAAAACAAAAACATATTGAGCAAACTGGTTCTTACCAGAACCAGTATTTCCTACACATGGAATTTTCCACTGGGACAAACTAAGCGTGCTTCTATTTGTCAGAAGAGGTTGCTCACTCCTCATTGTGGGCTGGTTTTGTGGTTGCAGAGCTTTCTGGAAAGCATAGGGCACCCCAGGAATGTGAGATTGTTGTTCATCATCAGTGAGAAGTGGCTCCCAATGCCATGTGTGGGGCCTTTCCCATGTGCTAGAGGAGAGAGGGCATGCCAGGATGCAGCTGTAGGAAAAAGGCATGTTACAGAACAGGGGAGAATGACAGAAGTGGTCCCTAGACTTGGGGATGTTTTAGAAAAAAGCAATTTTCCAGGAGCCCGGAACAGCAATGGTTCACCTGCTGGAAGGCCAGGGGTTGGGGGGAACTGATACTGGTCCTGACAATGCTGAAGCCTCCCGAGGATGAGGAAGAGTGACATAAAGTCAAGGCCTGGTCTGTTTTCAGAAAACCTCCAAGGCCAGCCCTGGAAGGAGAGTCAGGACTCTGCTTCAGGGCTCAGAAGGGAGAAGGCCTTTATGCGCAGAATGGAGTTTATGCCTGGGCAGCCAGTGTCCCCTGGCTGCTTTACTTCTTTGTAAAGTGTTCCATTAGTGTGATTTTATGTGTGTCTCAATCAGTGTGAAAGACTTGCGTGCAGAGGCACCTGAGTGGCTCAGTTGGTTAAGCATCTGACTCTTGATTTTGGTTCAAGCCCCATATCAAGTTCTGTGCTGACAGTGCAGAGCCTGCTTGGGATTCTCTTTCTCTCCATTTCTCTCTGCTCCTCCCCAACTTGTGCACTCACTTGCTCTCTCTCTCAAGATAAGTAACTTAAAAAATTTTTTTAACTTAAAAAAAAGCTTGCATGCATATAACATATAGTTTTGCTTAACAAGTAATAATAGAACAAAAACCCACATAATGACTTGGGTCATTTCACCTGATGGCAGATAGAAAATTTAAGTTCTTCTATAGAACAGTCCCATCACCTGAGATACTGGGCTTCCTGTGGGTACTGGGGGCTTGGTCATTGCCTGTGATCTATGTGGCTGGCTGGTGTTTCACAGAATGTACGTGTGTGCTGTGTCCACACCTGGGCTTGTTCTGTGAGGAGCTGCCAACACAGATGGGGTGTCCTGGGAAGTCAGGATGTGCCACGATCACGTCTCTGCACTTCATCTGCCCCTTAGGTCCTGGTCCAGTGGCGGGAGGCTGCGTCAGTGCAGATATACTACCGACAGCAGGAGGACTGTGCCATTAAGGAGGTCCAAAAGGTGTTGGATAAGGGTAAGCAGAGTTCCTGGAAGCTAGGGAGAGGACTGTGAAGAACACAGAACTGTCTTCTGTTCCATTTGTTTCCCCTCAGTCTTTATATTCTTCTGTGTGTGAGTTTCCTGTTGCTAAAATAACAAAGTACTTTAGACTAGGACGTGTAAAACAGCAGAAGATTGTTCTCTCTGCATTCTGGAGGTCCAGTCCGAAATAAGGGTGTTGGCAGGGCCATGATTCCTGTGAAGGCTGGAGGGGAAAGTCCTTCCTGGCCTCTTCCAGCTTCTGACAGCCCCAGCGGTCCTTGGTGTTTGTAGCTTATAGACTCGTTACTCCAGCCTCAACCTCTGTGGACGCAAGGCTCTCTTCCCTGTGTCTGTGTCTCTTCTTAGAAGGATACCTGTCCTACTGGATCAAGAGGTCCACTCTACTCCAGGATGGAGTCAGTAAATTGTGCTGACCCCCTTGCTAAATAACATCAACTCTGAGGTTCCAGGATGAAGATGAATATGGGACGGGTTAACTGTTCAAACAGTATATCATAGCATTCTGTTCCCAACCAATTGCCAAATACTTTGTGTTCATTTTTTTTTTAATGTTTATTTTTGAGAGAGAGTGTGTGTGTTGGGAGGAGGGGCAGAGGAAGAGATAGAATCCCAAGCAAGCTCCGAGGTGTTAGCAAAGAGCTTGATGCAGGACCCAGACTCACAAACCACAAGATCCTGACCTGAGCTGAAATCAAGAGTCAGATGCTTAACCGACTGAGCCACCTAGGTACCCCAAAATCTAATTCTTAAAAAGGGGTCAAGGGTGGGGTGGTTTTGATGGGAAAGTCCTTCCAGGGGCTGGCTACTTCTCAGATCAGTCCGATTACATAGGGTCCTGCTTCCTTGTATGTTTAGGGGGTAGTGGCCTTGAGTAGTCTGACTACCTGCTAAAAAAAGCCTGGGGTATATGGTCCAGACAGGAGCAGAGATGAGATGCAAAGAAACTGAGACCCATGTCCCTGAAGTGGGGTATCCAGCACTCTGAGGGGACAGCCAGTGGTTAGAGTAAATGAAGATACAACTGGAAGTGAAAACAAAGGGAAATGGTTTAAATCAGACCATAGGGAAAACAGATCATGTTGTTAGTTTGCTCCAGGACAAAAATTGAGCAACCTTGGTTGGGTTCTGACTGTCGTATTTGTGTTGATAAACACAGATCTCTGCTTTCCTCTGGGTAGAACCCTGGGGTCAAACATCCCTCACTTGCTCCACCCCCGATGTGCTTCTCTGTGTCCTCATGCTGCCCCTCACCCCAGAAAGCAGTGCTGTGTTTCCAGTCCACTCCCAAGAAAGAAGCTGAGGGGTTCAGCTCATCCCTTGGCCTCTGTTTGGACAGAGCTTTGGCATCAAGCACTGCAGAGGCCTTGCCAGTGTGTCAGGCGTCCACACCCGGCCCAGGTGGCCCTGGTGGGTATTAGAGGTGACAGGCACAGGGTGAAGCCTTAAGCTCCACAGGACTGAGGGGCAGGCAGCTTTCCGTAGAAGAGAGTGGCACCACGTGGTGGGCCCTGCGTGGGACCAATCATTACAGGTGGTACAAAGGATTTGGGAGACCATGTGACAGGACACTGTGCTCTCAGCAAACCACAGATGCACACTCAGTACCTGTGGAACCATTTCTGGGCTTAGTTAAGGCCTCAGGTCTCAGGCACACCTTGGCAGCCCAAGGATGGGGCCGAGTGCTGGGGGAGGATGAACTCAGGGCAAGGCATTATAAAACATATTCCAGAGTGCCTAGTACAGGCAGGGTCAGATGCTGGCTGTGTGACTTCGGCAAGTCCTCTTGGAGCCTCAGTTTCTCCATCTGTAAAATAGGGGTAATAGTGCCTGCCTCTTGGGGTGGTCATTTGGATCCAGTGAGACACAATAGGCACACTTGAAACAGTACCCAGCAAGTATCAGCACTTAGTACTAATGCTTACTTCCAGGCGTGTGAATCCTCCTTCTCTGCTCTCTCCAGCAAGTCCCCACCCCATCTTGGCATCAGTTCCCTGGTACCAAGACTTTCCTGTTGTCTCTAAAAGAAACTTCTCTCAGGGCCTAAGAGAAGGGAAAAACCTAAAATAAAAAAATAAGAACAAAAGACAGAAGAAAATGCTTTCTCCCTCAAGAGAGAATCTGGTGACATACAGTATGTAGCCTCTGCCTGCCTGCAGTGCCCAGAGAGTCAGAGGACATGGTCCGGCAGACGCTGTGCCTCCTTTTGGCCTGGCTTGAGCTGCCTGGACTCTCTGAGCCTCAGTCTCCTCCCTGGCAAAATCGAACCATGGAACCCCACTCCCTCAAACTGAGGCAAGGGTCTTATCCATGCTCCCAGCAGCATCCTGAGGGTGCTCTGTACAGGCGCTGTAGACACGTGGCTGCTGTGTATAGGCTGGTGGCTCTGGCAGGCCCTTGGGGGGCACAGCAGTAAACAACAGACTTGTTCCGGCCCCCAGGGTGCTCACAGCTACTGAAGGTGGTCAGAGCCGTCCTCACAGAGTGGCCACCATCCACATGTGAAGGTTTTACAAAGTGCACCTGACACCCCATCGTACCCCCACACGACCTTTTCCACTCTCTGAACTTCCACCATTGCAGACTTGTAGAAAACCTCCAAAAGAGCACACTCTGACTCGGATCTGCCTTAGGCTGTCTCAGGACCTGGTTTCGGCGCTGGCGGGACCAAGGCCAGAGGTCGGCCCAGCAGAGAGCCCAGCTCGAGAGGGCAGCTAGGAATCACCACCGGCGGCTGCTGCTACAGGCCATGGCCCGGTGGAAGGTGTACCATTTGGGCTGTGTCAGGAAGCAGGTGAGGCAGGAGGCAGCTCCCCAAGTGCCGCTGTACAGAGGGCTCTCCAGGCTGGGAAACCACCAACTGGGGAAGAGGAGGGCCTTCCTGTAGAACCCATGACCACCAGTCATGGAGTGCTGGATAGTTGGGGTCCTGTAGGCCCAAGACTACTGGAGCCTGTCTGGGATGGCTGTGGGAAGCCAGCCTCAGGGTCGGGTTCCCCCAGGCAGAAGATGGCCCAGCAGAGAAATCTGGTTCATTCTGAACCATGAAGTATCAGAGCTGAGAGACCTCCAGAGTCCCCTAGACACCCCTGCCTGGTACATGAGGCCTTTGGCTTCTTCCAAGACTCCTCCTGGGGATGGGAGGACAATTTGCTTGGGCCTAGAGCCGCTCACCTTGTGGTTGCACCCAGGTGGTTGAAATATAAGGCCCTGACTGCTTTTGTCTGCTGTCTTCCCAGCTGCTGCAGAGGCGGGGTGCCCAGCTCTTGGCCCAGACTCTTAGCCAGGCCTGTTTCCAGCAATGGAAACAACAGGTAGGAGCCAGCAAAAAGCCCCTTCCCCTTCCCATTGCTTCCCGAGTTCATGTTTAACTTTTTAATTATTTTTTTTTTTAATTTAAGTAATCTGTACACCCAGTGTGGGGCTTGAACTCACAACTCTGAAGTCAAGAGTTGCATGCTCCAAGGTGCCTGGGTGGCTCAGTTGGTCAAGCATTCAACTTTGGCTCAGGTCTTGATCTAACATTTCGTGAGTTCAAGCCCTGCATTGGGCTCTGTGCTGACAGTTCAGAGCCTAGAGCCTGCTTCAGTTTGTGTGTGTGTGTGTGTGTGTGTGTGTGTGTGTGTGTGTGTGTGTGTCTCTGCCCCTCTCCCACTTGCACTCTGTCTCTCTCAAAAAAAATATTGATAAACATTAAAAAATTAAAGAGTCACACACTCCACTGACTGGAGCCAGCCAGGTGCCCCCATATTTAACATTTTTAATTCCACCCTCATCCCAGGGCTCCCCCAACCCTAGTCATTTCCCAGCACTGGCACTTCCTTCCGCCTGTGACCTGTACAAGCCTAAGTCACTTCGGGGCCCAACTTCTACAGTGTCACATTAGAAAGTACTTCAGGGTAATAGCCCAAAAATTAATATGAAATGTATTTTACATCTTCGCCAATGATTTGATAAAACACCAGGCAGGATTGCATCATGCTTAGCAAACCTTCATGTGCAAGGTGTCTGGTGAGCCCAGCACACCGCCCCAAGCTGCTTCCTTCCCCAGGAGCTCTTTGCCTTCGTTCTTGCCAGAGGATCACTCCTTGGCCCACCAGCACTGGGCCCTTCCTAGTGGAGGGAGGGCAGCAAGAAAAGGGTCTCAGAGTGACCAGGACGCTGTGGTCGGGGCAGCCACCTTGAAGGCTCTTTTTGACCCATAGCTGGCGAACAGGAGGCAGGAACAGCGGGGCACAGCCCGGGCCTTGTGGTTCTGGTCCTTCTCACTACAAGCAAAGGTAAGGGGGGCTCCACACTCCACTGCCCCTGCCTCTCCAGGAGAGGGCCATGCCTCAGTGGAGGGTAAGCAAGGTGAACTGGGCCTCATCTCCTTTCCCTGGAGGTGTGGGCTGCATGGCTGGGCTTAGTGCTGGAAAGGAGGAGAAAGAAGGCACGACTGGAGCGAGCTGTTCAGGCCTACCACCAGCAGCTCCTTCAGGAGGGTGCCATACGCCTCTTACGGTTTGCAGCCAGCATGAAGGCCTTCCGGCAGCAGCTGCATACTCAGCAGCAGGTGCAGGTGAGTCCCAGGTCCCTCACCCCTTCTCTTGGGGAATGGGCAGGACCAGGCATGACCTGACCAGAGAGGCCTGTTGCAGGCGGCCCACAGTCTCCACCGTGTGGTCCATCGCTGTGCCATGCTGTGGAAACAGAAGGTTCTGGGCCAGGGCAGGGAGCCTCAGCCCCCAACATCCACCATACCCAGCAGGAGAGTGACATTTAACAGTCCCCTTTCCACCTGTGTTGCTGCTGGAGCTGGGGATGCTGCCCTGGAGACCAAGAGGCCACGAGATCCTCAGTCACGGGGAGCTCTTCTCAGCCTGACCCTGGCTGCTGGAGACCCCCAACTCCTAGAACTGTGAGTAGCCCATCCCTTGTCTTTTCTTCCTGCCTGGGGCAGAGGCTTGGACTGTACAGAAGGAAGTCATGGCTAAGCTGCTTGGACCCCTCTCTCTGGCAGAATTCTGTCCCATCCCTTCCATTCCCATCCGGCCCCAACTGAAGGGACCACACATCCTCTGTTCCTGTGGTACATGGTGGAGAGAACATTTAGTTTTAGGAAAAGGAAGAGGCTATGGGGCAATCTTGCTCTCATGCCCCCAAGACCTGCCAGTCTTCCTGCTTCTCCACATATAGCTGAGAAACGGTCTTCCTCTTGGAAACTCCACTGTTTGTGACCTGGCCCATCTCCGCACACTGGCTTCAAGTAACCTCCAACTACCTGAGCCTGGCAGAGAGGTCACCAGTGGGGTAGGGCACTGGCCTGGACCTGTCTGCTCTGCCTCCCTTCCCACCAGCCCTGATAGGCCTGCTCCCACTCTAATGTGGGAGGAGCACCGGGTTGCTGTAGAGGTCAAGTGAGATGATGTAGGTGAGGCATCCCCACATTGTCAGACTCAACTTCATTGGAATTACTGGAAGTACTATATATGGCCCAGGACCACTTCTGGTTCACCTGCTAACCTTGGGCAAGACCCTCTCTTTCTCTGGTCCTCAGTCTCCCTGTAAAATTGGAGGGGTCGGCCTGGGTACCGCAGGCAGCCTAGAGGAACAGGGCTGTGTTTCTTTCCAGCAATGCTGCCCGCTTGGCAAGAAAGCAGCCTCGACGCCCACATTTCCTGCTGGAGCCCGTGCAGAGCCAGGGGCCCCTGGGGTGTCACGCCCTTGGGAGACCAGGGTATGTTGTATGGTCCTAGGATGAGTGGCCCCCCTTCCTTCCTGCTCCTCAGGAGGGTACCGTGGTCTGACCTCCTCCTGCCCTCCCTCTGCATAGGCCTGAGGCACCGTGGGAGTGCAACCCAGGTGTGGCCCAGTCAGAGTGCCCTTCTCTGATGAGGCCTTTCCTGCCAGAGGCCTGGACAGCACTGGTCCCGGGCAGCCCCCAGTCCAGGGCCCTACCAAGTCACCCTGGCGTAAAGTCACCCCTCACATTGAATATGGGCCCAGAACTGCTGCCCCCTTCCTCCTTCATGCCATGTGGGGTGGAAGCGCCTGCCAGGGTAAGTCCTCCTGGTCCCCTGGGGTCTCATTCTTTAGTCTGGCCTTCAGTGCTCTTCCTCATGCACTCAGTGCTGTAGTTGAAGCTGTACTCACTGCTACCAGAGCACTGCCAGCTCAGGATGCAGTGGGGCCACTCATACATTCACCAAGTGTAGGTGCCCCTGTCTTAGGGACACAGTATGGAAAGGCTACTGAGGCCCCCACTTGTGAAGCTTCTATGCAAGAGATGGAGACCAAAGTGCTCCAAACATAGATGAGGACACTGCAGATCATCAAGGGTCCTGCAGGCCCTGGGGAAATGACTGGATTTTAAGGAAAGTAGGAAATGGTGGGGCCTGTTGGCTGCTGTGATCCTGTGGCCCAGCGGAAGGTGCTGGGAGCTAGGAGCAAGTGGTGGCCGTGGGCAGAGCCCATCGTGGGTGGCAGACTAGGCAGGACCTGCTCTGATGCTCTGATGGGTTTGATAAGGGTGAGGAAGGAATCCAGGATGGCTCCTGGGTTCCTGGCTTGAGTAACTCCAGGAATAATGAGTTCTTTTACTGAAAGAGGGAAATGGGTGGGGAGCCCATTTGGAATAAAGCCTGAAGAGTTTATCTTGAACCTGTCAAATCTGATATAAAGCAGCAAGATTGAGTGTGGCCTTCAGGGAGGAGGTCAGGGCTGGAGGGCAAAACTCAGTCCACATAGTTTGAAGTTACCGGTAAACCCCTGGGACCTAAAGAGGTCACTTGGGAGGAAAGGGGCAGAGGCTCCCTCTGGGCATGTGACATCCAAGTAAAGAGCCTGAGCAGGGACAGCCAGGTGGTAGAGAAGGCACCAGTGGTTAGTAATGGAGATGGTAGCAGGGTCGGGACACCCCAAGAATTGGTGCCCGAAGAGAGCTGGTCAATCATCACCAGAAAGAAATGGAAGGTTGTAGGTGTGTGGTTTGACAAGGATAGTTGCCTTTGACCACTTTTCTCACTGAAGTGCAGGACCCCTGCTCAGAGCAGGGGGGGCGGGGTAAGACAGCTGCTTGGGGAGGTGACAAGCCAGGCTCTGGGAAAGGGGCGGGACTGGCCTGCACAGATGTAGGGTGATCCCTGAGCTGTTTGTGGGATGTCCTCCCTTCTATCAGGTCCTGAAGGGGTAGGGCCAGGGCCATACTAAGTGAGCTGGCCAGGTCAAGTCCTGTGGCCTCACCTCCCCACATCCCTGCGGTGGGCAGCCTGGGTGCCCCTCCCCAGCCTTCCTTTCCAGCTTCTCTGCTCATCTGTCCTCCCTTTACAGGCATCTACACAGCCCATCACCCCCGGGCTTGCGCCCCAGGCCTCTCCCTCTGCAGCCAGTGTCCCCCACCCCCGCCTGCTGCTTCCTGGGGACTTCATGGGCACTGGTCCCAGGCCAGGCTCTGCACGCACAGGTGTGTGCCTGAGGCCTGTCCATACCGTGAGTGCTCAGGACTCTCCCAGTGCCCAGGATCCCTCCATCCAGCCTTGGCATAGCCGGGAGGATGGTCAAGATCAAGCTCCTTCTCCTGTCACCATGGGCCATAGTGACCTGGAGGCCGAGCTTGAGGGCATCCAGCAGCAACTGCAGGACTACCAGACCATGAAGCAGAATCTCTCGTAAGAACCAGAAAAACCGCAACCGTGTCCCCAGAACTGGCTGACAGGGTGCTTGGGGTGTTTTGCCTGTGCCCACCCCCCACCCCCCCCACAGGTGGCACCTTTATCCCTCAGTCCAGCTCAGGTCTGCCTCACCTGTGGGACAGAGGATAAAGTGGAGTACAACTTTCAACGTAAGTGCAAGGCCAGTGATCCACCCGGTGACCATGCCCGATGAAGGTGCAGAAAAGACAGGCCTGTGTGTAGAGGGCTTGTCTTGTCTGTGGTCTGGGTCCAGAGCCTGTGTCCCCTGCACCCAGGAAGAGGGACGGGGAGGGGTTCTACCAGGGCCTACCTGAGGTGCTTGCTGAGCTGGTGGTGGAAGCTGGCAAAGGAACAGAACAATCCTCCCCACCCCCACCAGCAGTTAACAGATGTGCTGCTTCCCCAGCTGGAGGTGCCGCCAAGGGCCTGGCCAGGCTGGCAGCAGGTGTCTCACTCCCTCAGGTCCTACCAGCGGCAAGCCAGAAGCCTGCGCCGGTGGCTGGAACTGAGCCAGGAGGAGCCCGGACCTGAGGACCAGGAAGCAGAACAGCAGGTGCAAAAAGAACTGCAGGAGGTGAGGCCCCAGGTGGTCCGGGGACAGCGCCCTCGGCTGTACTTTGTCTCAGCGCAGCCTCCCGTTCCCCCAGGTGGAGCTGCAGATCCAGCAGCTGGCCTCTGAGCTCCAGGCCCGACGCCAACCCATTTGTGCCTGCATCACCCGCATCCAGGCCCTGCGGCAGGCTCTGTGCTAGTCACTGCCCCAGGGAGGCCTCAGCCCACCACCAGAAACAACACAAAGCTGCAATGAGTTTTATTTTTTATTTCAAAATGTTGCAATTACATGAATTACTGTTCAGAAGTCTCCCACTTTTCATACAAAAATACTGTGCTACTGATACAGTTGAAAGAGTTCAAATGGCTTCTCCTGCAGGAGAAATTCACAGCGTCCCCAGGAAACCTGAACCCTGGTCCCACTGTCGGTGGCTCCCTAAGGACTGTGTACCTGTAACCTGGGGACAGGTGTGGTAGGCACAGACCCGTTCCTCTGCCTTCAACACAAGCCCCTGAATCAACAGCAGCAACTTACCATGTTTTATGTGGGTCTGGATATGAGGGGGAGACAGGCTCTACCCTGGCCCCCTTAGGTCACCTGTCCATTCACTTTGGACACCATTCAGGGGATTCAGTAACTGGTCTTGCTTACCGGAAAGAGGACTTGCCAGCTCTGGCAGGTCACTCACTGGGGCCTGCTAAGCGCCATGCCATTAGACCCCCTCAGAAGATGCTGGCGGAGTCAAGGATGATGCGTTCAGCCATAAGTGCAGAGAGACAGCTTTTCCCAAACGAGCAGGGTGGGGTGAATTGGGAACAGAAAGCAGTTGTGTTAAAGGCCACGTGGCCCTGCTCTGAGGGCAGCACAGCCCAGTCAGTGCAGGGGAGGCAGAGGGGAAGGCCAGAAAGCAGGGATGGGGATACATAACCACTTCTGTCTTACAACAGAAATCAAGACCAACTGAACACCCAGCCAGGAGACCTAGGGTCTCCAGTTTATACAGTAGATTAAAAAAAACCTCCAAAAGGGAATTTGAGATCATCTTGGCCTACAGGTTTTCTCTTTAGAGTGGGAAGAGGGGCCCACGTAGGTCCAAGGTCAACAGGGGCTCTGACCTCATCTACACCTCTGGGACAGCAGAAACTAGTCACCCAGGTCCCGCCTGGTCAGACCCCACAGCCCTGAGACTGTCCCCTCCCTGACCAGCCACGGAGGCTCCCCTCTAAAAGACCCTCCTGTTTGAAAAAGTTCCCTCAGTAGCCGCCACCAGGAAGGAAGCTCTAGAGGGAGCCTAGAGCCTCCCCAAACCGAATCTTCTGTCCAGCTTTCAGCTTAAAGTTGAAGTCCTTGGGGGCCTCGAAGATGAGCACGATGGTAGAGCCCAGGTTGAACTCGCCCAGGTGCTCGCCCTTGCGCATGGGGATGCCCTCCTTGTTGGTGTGCGTCACAAAGCTGAAGTCGTTGTAGGAGCCCTTGCTGTAGCGTGGGCTATTTGTGTGCAGGTCCTGCAGGAGGCCAAGGGCACAGCATGTGGAGTCTGCTCCTGGACTTGGAACACACCTCTGCTGCCTGTCCCCAACTCAGATTGGAAAAGGAGCTGGGGATAGTGACTTGATGGGCCCAATACCAGCTGTGAACTGGGACCCAGGGTAACATGGAGGAATTAGACCCAACTCTTCTCCAGGATGGGTGAAGGGCAGTCACAAGCTGACATCAAGAAAGGCAGCCCCCTCACATACTAAGCCTCCGAGCAGCACACCCCACCCTGAGCTCAATGTTCCTGTTGAGTTCCCAGCAGAAGCAAAGTGCGGGCTGGGAGGTTAAACCCCTCCTTCTCTAACCACCTCCAGATGAGCAAGTGGCAGCACATCTGGGGTGGGGGCTGGCAGAGCAGAAGCCCAGGATCCAGCCCCTCTTCAGAGCAGCAGCTCAGCAAAGCAAGGCCTAGCAGGGGGCCCATCTAGAACTGATAGTCCCAACAAATCTGGCTGCATGGAAGAGGAGGCAGGGGGACTCCAGTGGCCCAGTCCTTGGACCTGGCTCTGCTTACCCGGTCAAAGTAGATGCGTATAGAGCCCACATTGGTGGCCCCCACAGCAGTCAGAGAGAAGAAGCCATGTTTCCAGTCCCCAGTGAGGACTACCCGCTCATTGTGGCAGAAGAGCTCTTTGATCCAGCGGGCCATGCCAGGGTTCACAGACATCAGGGAGCCTGTGGGGGGCAGGAACATTGCTATTCCCCACCCAGCAGGACGATGAGCCTCCCAGAGTTCTATGTCCACCCATATCATTCCACATGCAGAACAAGCTAGACCCCAGGCTGCACCCTCCTGCCCACACCCAACCAGACTAAAGCAGTCACCTCTGTGCCTCAGCACCCCAAATGTGGAGACCCGGTCCCTTAACACCAAAAAGCACAAGGCTCTGGCCAACCTGGGAAGTGGCGCCGGTGGGAAACAGTCCAGTCAGTGGGAGAGTGGAAGCAGTGGTAGTCCCCTGGGGCCAGGTAGATGACACAGTGGTAGAGTTCATTCCCTTCTCGAGTGACCAGCTGGTTCCTGAAGGAGCCGCAGGGGGTAGCTGTGGGGGGTGGCAGACACGAGGGCCAGGCTCTCAGAGAAGCACCTGAGCCTGTGTAGTCTGGATATGGGCTCCAGGGAGGCCAAGAAGCTCCACGCAGTGATTCCTAGCCCTTTCCTCCCTGACCTATTCCCGTCCTTCACCCAGACAACCAGTCCAGCTCTGCTACAACAGGGCTGTGGGGACCACTGCCAGGCACTAACCCACCTGGAGGGAAGGGCAGGTCCTCCATGGAGTTGCGTGGACCAAGGAACGACTCCAGCGAGTAGGTGACCCCCTTCACCTGCTCCACTTCACAGTTCTTCACCTGCCCAAAGTTCAGGATCTTCCCATCTGACGGGCTGATCTGAAAGGGCAGAGAAAGGCTTGTCACTAAGGGAGGCAGGGGGACTCCCCAAGCCTGAGAGGAGTACCCCTGGGTCATCTGTGGAGGCTGCTGGGACTGGTTCCCAAAGGCATGGGCAACAATCCTTTTTCTGGAGAGAGGAGTGGAGGGCAGGGTCGGGCCTCACCACGCTGTGCAGGCCACACACGGGCCGGGCCTGTGGCTTCAGCTTGCGTCGGAAGAACTCGCTGAGGTTGCGGTAGTGGTGCAGGTCTTCCACGGCGGCCTCCTTCATGTTTACCCCGAAGGTCCAGATATACAGGCTGTACACAGGCCTGCGCAGCCAGTGCGGCAGCTCCACCTGGTTGAGGCGGCCCCAGGCCCGCGACAGCAAGCGTGTCGGCACTGACTTGTACAGGGCCACCTGCAGGCCACAGACAGGCAGATGAGTGGGCCACCCTGCATGCCCCCTGCCACCCCCCAGTCAGCCACCACCTCCGGAGGCCTAGGCACATGCGATGGCTTTGTGATGTGGTTGTTTCCCACTAGGAACCAGACTGAGCCTTCCAAGTACTCTCACAAACCAAATACTGGCCGAGATGGTGACACAGTGACCTAAACTCAGTAGTTTCAGTCATTTTATACACAGGTCCAATAGCAACTGCCCTGGTCCCCAGGAGAGACTGGCCAGCAGTCTCACTTCTTAAGGAAAGGAGGGGCATAAATGCCTCTGATACCTGCAAAGAGACTCTGTGGCAGAAAGGGGCAGGACCCTGGGTACAGGAGAAAGTTTAGAACGCAAGCACACGTTCTGGTCCAAAGAGAAAGCAGAGGGAACATGGTCCACACAAAGTCAGGGGCTTTCACGTGAGGATGTGCTGTATCACTGTAACCCCCACCCCAGCCAGTAAGCACCCCGGGACACAGTTGCACCCTGCCCAGCCTGCCTGGGCTTCGAAGCACTCTACTGTGAGGGGCAGGTCCACAAAGCTGTCTGCACTTGAGGGCTGCTCCCCCAAGGCACAGGGGATCGGCCCCAGCTGTCTCTGTTGGCACCACCAGCCAAACTCTAAGGACCAGGCAACCCGTAGGGGGAACGTCTCTTAAACCCCAGGTGCCGCTGCCACAGTGGGACCTGCCTCTAATTGGCAGCTGCTGCCTGTCAGCCCAACCTAGACACCAAGTCCCCACGGTGTAAGTATAATTTCATTCCAACTTTAAACACACATTCCCCTTTAAACAGGGGCGCCTGGGTGGCTCAGTCGGTTGAGTGTCTGACTTCAGCTCAGGTAATGATCTCACGGTTCGTGGGTTTGAGCCCTGCGTCAGGCTCTGTGCTGACAGCTAGCTCAGAGCCTGGAGCCTATTTCGGATTCTGTGTCTCTCTCTGTGACCCTCCCCTGCTCATGCTGTCTCTGTCTCTGTCTCTCTCTCTCTCTCTCTCTCTCAGAAATAAAAAATTTAAACACCTCTACAGTGCACTGAGCTAGTGGCTCCCCAAACTCCTCCCAGCTGATGCCCATCTCAGCATTGGGTGCCCTGCTTGGGGTGAGCCTGCCCAGAGAGCCCAGGGCAAAGGAGGCAGCTCTCTAGAGAACAGTGGCCAGGTGGCTTCCTCATCTAGCCCTGCCTGGGGCTCCCACATCCTCAAAGGCATCCACACCCAAGGGACCCAAACAGGCACCAGCCTTCCTTGAATCACCCTCTGGCATCCAGGAACTGATTTGCATTCTTCCCAAAAATCACCGCGAAGCTCTCTTCTACCTGTGTACAGGGAATCCAGACACCATTTTCTGAATGCCCAATGTGGGTTCCTCCCAGAAACAGAGCCCCTAAATGGCACAAATGCAGGCAAGGAGAACAGGCAGTGCATAGCAAGCCCTCGGGGCCACCAACCAGCTGGGCCTTCCCAACCAACTTACCTGTCAAGATGACCATCTGGGGGATTCAGCACCCACACCCTCACCTCTAATCTGACAACTGTCTCCTTCTCCGTTCCATGTCCTGGGTACCAACCTCAGGCCTGCCCCCAGGCCGGCCGGGCCAGCAGCCTGTGCACACTTACCCTGCTCACGGGCCTCCATCCCACCCGGCTGAGAGGTCTGAGGGCACCGAAGGGCAGGAGGTAGTAGAGAACCGTCAGGGGCCAGGAGCGCAGTTTCAGGGCAGGTCTGGACATACAGCTCAACTGTCCCAGCCTCCGCCTGAGGGCCAGCTGGGGGAAGTGCAACCTGCAGAGCAGATGTCCGTGCACGGCCAGGTCAGCAGTCAGGGTCTGGGAGGCCCCACCCTGCCCTCAGCAAGCTTGCCTCTCTGTGGAGTCCAGTAGCACTGCCACGGCCCCTCAACACAACCCCATTCTGATTTGGAGGCTCAGATGCCTCTGGTCAGTAGACTCTCATCCTAGTCTCTCCCATCTGCCTACCAGCTTAGAAGAACTAGGAGTTGGGGGCAGCATGGGGAAGCTGCCTCACAGCCCCCCACTCTGCCCACAGAGGTGCCAGGGAGACACAGTCTGATCTGGAACCCCAGCAGTGCAGAAGCGCACAGAATTGGGGAGCTACACTACCATCACACTGCAGGATCTGGGAAAATCTCCTCATGGCTCCGGGCTTCTTGTTTCCTCATCAGATAAATTAAGGGATTGGGCCTGGCAAGACCCCAAAAGAAAACACCATTGAACACGTACCGGCACTACACGTACACCCCTAACAACTAAAGCTCCATCCACCTGCCTGGTCTTTCTCCATCAGGTTCTCCAAAACGGACCTAGAGGTTGGCAGAACGGCCCCAGTAACCCTCAGGCCACCTCCCAGGTCTGCCTGGGCCACAGACCTGAGCCAGGCCCCTCAACAAAGCCCAAATTCAGTGCATTCAGCACAGGCTCTGCCTTGTAAGGATATGAGGCTGGAGGGGCCTTTCCACCAGAACCGTGGCCTCCTGAGATACAAAAGGGACACCCAAGTCTCCTGGCCTCATGCCTAGGCACTAGAAAATGCTTCTGAGGTCCCAGTGCAGCCATCAGGAGACCACATTCCCACCCACTCTGAGAATGTCCCCAGGCCTAAGTTTCCTCATTTGCAAAAAGACTGCATTCAACTGGATAATCTAAGGCTCCCATCTGCGCCTGTGTGCTCTCAGAGAAGCCATGTCCTCTGCCCCCAGTTGAACAAACCAAGGAACAAAGAGGCATCTCAGCTGATACCAAAAAGAAAAAAATGGAGAACCAAGCTAATGTCCAGGCACCTGCTATTCAATGATGGCAATGGAAGATGCTTCTTTCCACAGCTCACCAGATTCCCTGGGTTCGTGCTCTTCCAACTCACCCCACCCCACTGTGTTTTCAAAAGGTTCAGGAAGGTAGTAGGGGCCAAACAAAGCTGAACAAATCCCTGCTGTCCCAGGGGCTTCCCCCACCCGCCTTGATTACTGCAGAAGCCCATGGACCAATCCTGGAAGAGCAGCACCTCTCCTGAACAGGGTGGGGGGCACTCGGGGGTGGGGACCTGGGAGCAGCAATTAGGGAGCAGCAGACACTAGGCCACCAGCCCGCTCCGACTCCCCAGGTACCTGAAGCGGGCTCTCCGACTCAGGCCCCCCGGACCGGGCCCCTCCAGCCTCGGGGGCTGATCCCCTGGCCCCCTGCTGCCACCTCCACCTCGGAGCCGCTGGACGTGAACTCTGACCTTCCGGAGGTCGTGGCGGGGCACAGTGGGGTTAGGACGCGTCCGGCAGCATCTCACCATTTCGCCGCCGCTCGGAGCTCCGGTCCTCGCCGAGCCTCTGACTGACACATGGTGGGCGGCGCCAGGCACACTCGCCTTTGTTTCTCCTCCTTCCTCCCTTCCCCCCAGCCAGAAGCTCCTGCGCTGTCACCACTCCTCAGGCTGGCTGCCTGGTGGCCGGTGGGCCGCTTCCCAGGTCGGTTGGGTCCCGGGGGTCACTAGGTGCAGCTTAGAGGTTGGGGCTATTGTGAAGACAGGCACTGGTCACACTTGCTTGGGAAGAGCAGGGGCCTGAGGCCTTGGACACAAGCCCCTGCCCTCCACCCACTCTGTCCCCAGGCTGGGCCACCTCCCCGCTCCATCGAGCTAATGGCAGGGAAGGGACCAGGCGCCTGTGGGCCCAAGAAGGACAAGCTTGGAATCTGAGCCCTGTACTCCAGGCGGGCACCCAGCGTCAGCTTGTCTGTGGCTCGGGCGGCCCCTCCCTCACCAGGACCTGACCCATTTTCCATTCAGGTGACAAAGTAGCATCTGAGGAATGAGGGAGCAGGAAGGCAAGAGAGGCGCGGTGGAGGTCAGACTCTGGACACCTGAGCTGCTCCAGCTCTCACCAGCTCCCACAGCTGGGCCTCAGAGCCTCCTATCCCAGCATGGACCCCCCAAGGTCTCCTCAGCAGATGACCACACCCATGACCTGACCTGAGGGAAAACCAACCAGGACTGAGGCCCAAACCAGCCCCCTCACCCAATCTTTGCTGTGGACAGCACTCTGGCCCTGCCTGGTGATCTGGGAGGACACGCCCACAGGCCCTCACAGATAACAGAGAAGGAGAGCAAACATTCCACAGTCCTTGCTGTCTGAGCCCAGGGACAGTCAAGGACCCAGCCAGCCTGGCCTACAATCCCAACTGCAGGTTACAGAGGACAGGCACCTGCTGTCATCTTTAGATGCAGAGATGCAGGCCCCAAGAGACGCTCCCAAGGCAGAAAGCTGACCCAGTCGAGGTCCCAGTCTCAGACCAAATGTCGACACCCACACTGCCAACTGACTCACAGCAGAACAAGAGGCCCCCAGAACGAGAGCTCCCCCACCCCCAGACATGGCTCCACCCACATAAGGGTGAAAGTCTGATGCTCCGCAAAGCCACTTCAGTCAGAGGTGAAAATGCCAGCCCCAGGCAAGTCAAATTCCTGGGAGTGCAATGTGCAGTGGGAGCCTGTGCAGGTTGACTAACATCCAAAAGTAAGCACGGATTTCCAGCCCTGACCAAGGAAATGGCAAGGCCTGGGCCACCCTGGACCCAGACCCCTCCAGCAGAGAACATCCCCAGGCCACTCACGTGAGTGACAGGACAGCTCACTGTGGGTGAGCCAGGTGGATGCCTGGTGTTACCCAGAAGCAGAAATGCACACAGCCTCCGCTGTTCCAAGGGCCAGGCCCACGGATCCATGGACACCACTGTGTCTATCCCCCATCCATGCATGCTAAGCCTCCTGCTAACTTCCCCGTCTGTGACAGGTCACCTCAACTATATCACCCATGTGACAGCATACACCCCACCCCTCCATAGCCCACCAGGCAATGGGGCCCCACAAATGACCTTCTATCAGCTCCCCAGGCCCAGAGGGGTGACAGGCAGTCAGTGTTGGGCATGGTGCTTGACTTCCAGGACAAGGCTCTTTCCCTCGCTCTAGAAAGCTTGGACTGAGTGCACACCTGGGATTCACTGTGAGGCCTTGTGGAAGAGGACGGGGGCCCCAGTCTCCTCCTGCCTATTTTCCTCACTAGGCTACCACATGGGACAGTGACCACTGCAGCATGCTGCCAGAATGGCACATGCTGAAGCCCACAAAGCTAGCATGGCCCCAACCCCAGGTCCTCAAAGCAGATTCCTGCTGTGTGCCTCTGCCATTTCATTTACCCCAGGGCACTTGGCCAGGCCTCCCAGCCCACCACAGTAAAGTGGGCCCTCACCCTTCCTTCTACAGTGCAGGGTGCTCAAGGGGGCCCAGACCAATTGCTGCTATCCTAGACTCTAGAAACTGCCCCCATATAGGGCCAGGAGGATGTCCTGAGCCCTCAGTCCTACCTCCACCACCACTCTACTTCCTCTTCCAAAATGGGTCAGGGACCAGACTGTCAGGCTTCTTCCAACTCACCAAGCATGGGCCCCAAAAGGTCCCCAGGGAGCAGACATGAATTCACCTGTCCCCAGGTAACAGGCTCAGCACCCTCTGTCTAGCTCAAAGCTCCAGGATGGAGGAAAGGGGCTCCCTGAGGCTCATGCCTTCCTGCTTCCCAAAGGCAGAGCCACTTCCTAGGCCAACACTGCTCCTGGCCTCCCCACCACAGTCCTCCACTAAACCTTCCACACCTGTGATGACCCTTGGAGCCCAAGCCAAAGCTTTCTCACTTTCTGGTTCCCTGGAGCCAGGTCCAAATGAGGAACCTGCAAGCAGGGCTCCCTGAAGCAAAAGTACAGATACATTCCTTCTGTCCCCTGTCTCAAGGACACTCTGTGGAGAAGAGTTGTGAACTGTGACCAGGAGTTTAAAGTTATCACAAGGCCTAAGGGCCAGCCATCCTGAACAGGGGAACTCAGAGACTAGGCTTTGATGGGGGAGGGGGGCAATCCAGTTACTGCAATCCTGGCTGCCCTGCCTTGAGAACTAGGAGAGACCTTGCAAATCACAGGTCCTTTGTGGCTATCAGTTTCCTCATCTGGAAAATGGGAAGGGTCACTCCTCCTGCTCACCCCCTTGAGGCTCAGATCATAGCAGCGAACCTGGCCCAGAACTCTGCTCTGCTCAGAAACACCATACCTCACTTCCACCCAAGACCTGGTAGCAGCCTCATCCCCTAGACCTGACTCCCAACACCTCACCTCCATTTCCAAACCCAAACTCTGGGAGCACAGAGATTTGCTCCCACTAGCAAGGAAGAAGGGGACAGGGTAGAGGGTTCTGAAAGAGCCCAAACCACACGGACACTTGCTGCACCTGACAAGTAGGACTCGATGGCCAAACAGGACAAGGTAGGGGGTCACTTTTGTCTGGATGTGCTGTTCTGGGTATTCACACCACGCCAGTGCTACAACATCCCCCTCTACCCCTCACAGCCTGTGATGAAGGCAACAAATACCCCCCTCAGTGGAATGGAACATTCCAACTGAAGTCAAATGGACAAACCCAGGCCAGTTACCAGTTACTACAGGTGTGGGGGCAGGGGGCCATGCTCCTGACTGGTTCCCTTGGACTTTGGCGGATTCAGGTTTAAGTCTTGACAAGGCCAGAAAGACAGGGATGGAGTCAGACTGTCTGCCCACCACCCCCTGATAAGCTCTGCCTGAACACCAAGGGTCTTGCAGCCAGGCACGCATCCTGCCAGAGACAACCTAAGAAATTTGCTCTTGCTCCCCCTGAGCTCCCTGAGCAGCAGAACTCTCACTGGTTGCCAGGGTCACTCCTCCTGAGCCTCAGTGTCCCTGTTTCCCCAAATCCTGTGTCTACCTGCTTGACTTTCTGAGCCCACTTCCACCCTGGAAGGCTGGCCCACTACCTGACCCCATCCACCCCCTACCCAGCTCACCTGACACACGACACAGGCAGCTGTGTCCAGGTGGGACCACCAACCCTTTCTCCCTGTGTTCCAAGACTAGAAGCAGACAAAACTTCAAAAACAGGGAACAGGGAAAATGGATTCTCCCCAGGTGAATCAGGGTGAGCCATCTTGGGGAAGCCTTGGGCAAGAGAAGAGGAAGCAAAGAGAAGGACCCAGAAACACTCAAGCCAGCAGCCAGGGAAAGGTGGGTGGGTGGATGTGGGGACAGTGCTCCCCGCAGCACGGGGCTTCTAAGAAATTTAAGAATGCTGCAAAGGAAAGGAAGCTTCCTTTGGGGACGGGGCTCTGTGAAGGGCTACTGGTCACCCCCTCCCTGGCCCTCCGGTGAGGCCCTAGGGACACCTCCGGGTCCTACTGAGGAACAGGGCAGCTTCCTTCCCTAACTGGCGCCAGTCATTAAGGAAATCCAGACACCGAGGAAATCTCTCAAGCAAGAGGGGACATGGAGCCCCAGCGTTTTCCCTTTCCCAGCCAGGAGATGCTGCCCGACCTGGCGGAAGTGAGCTCATCCGGCGCAGCCCATGACCCACCATGTGGGGCAGGAGAAGCCCGCAAAGGGATGGAGACTGTGGGGTGGGCTCTCCAGCCCAGGACCCCACAGCTCCAAAGGGCGACAGGGACCCAGGGAGGCCCCACTATGGGCTCCGGGAAATCACTCACTCACCGGCAGGTAGTCCGCTCCCACTGGGCGTCAGGCGCCAACTCCCAAGGAGGCACCACTCAGGGAGGAAGCCGCGGCAGACGGGCGGGGACTCAGCCTTCGGCCACTCGGACCACCCGGGGCGGGACAGAGGGCGGACACCAGAAGCCGACAGACACAGCTCCACCCTCAGGCCAGGCCCAGCCATGGGGCCCAGGGCCCCTTTAAGAGGAGGGGCTGCGGCCAGAGAACCAGCCCCGCCCGGTCACGGGATTTCCCGGCGACACCTCCTGGGCCTGAAGGCCATCCTCCCTCCTCACTCCAACTCGGGCAGTCCCAGGCCTTTACATGTGGCGTGTGGCTAACCTCATCCAGGGCCAGCTTCCCGGGACTGAGCAGAAAGCCACCTCCAACTACCTTTTCTAGCCCTTGAAGCATGCGCATGGTGTCTACGTCCTTGGCTCTTTCCCACACCCCACCCGGAAGGCAAAGACTGCCCTCACCTCCACTTTGCCCCCTCTCCTCCAGGCAAACACACCTCTACCATACAAATCCCCTGCCACACAAAATTTGGGAGAGACCCCAAACTAGACTCCGTAAGCAAGGTTCCCCTCTAGCCCCAGGCTGTGAGGTGATTCATGCAGTGTCTTTCTACTCCAGTAGATGGCAGGGCCCAGCCTGAGGGGGCAGTACCTTACACCCCATGCCCACCAAGCACTCACTCCTCAAGGGATGAAGAGAATGCACCAGCCTGACATTTTCTAGGTGACACAGAGTGACGACGAACACCAAGGAAAAAAAAAAAAGAAAAAACAAAAAAAACGGTGTGGAATTTAGGAGCCAGATTAACATCTGGGTAGGTTAGCACCCCATCCAGCAGTCAGACTGCCTCGAAGGCTGTCTTCATGCTCTAGGCTACTGAACAAGGGTACAACCCTAGCTGCTGCTGACCACTGAGAATCTGCTTTCTTTTTTGTAATGTTTATTTCTGAGAGACAGAGACAGACAGCATGGGGGGGGGGGGAGAGGTAAGAGAGAGAGGGACAGAGGATATGAAGCAGGTTCTGCGCCAAAGGCAGCAAGCCTGAAGCAGGGCTCAAACTCCCAAATCGTGAGATCAGGACCTGAGCGGAAATCACTCACCAAACGAGCCACCCAGGTGCCCTGAGAATTTGATTTCTAAAGCAACATTTGGAACAGGAAAAAAGAGTCTTTCGGCTTGCAAAGAGATGGGCAGCTGCGCCCAGGTGGCCTGGAACAGGATATACAAAGCCCCAAACACCTGTCCTCATATGGATCCACTAAGCAAGTGCTCTGTGACAAGCTACAGACCTGGGATGCCACGGCGAGGAGAAGGGCAGAAGACTGGCAGTGTCCCTCATCGTGGACTTCCATAATACCGGACACTGCCAATGCATGGCAGGAATAGGGCAGAAGGGGTGCACTATGTAGAGTTCCAGCCCTCTGGGGTTCAGGTTCCAACACAGGGGCTGCACCTCTCAGGCTCCCAGCCTGGGCCCACAGCATTCTCTGAGCCTCAGTGAGACTTAAGATCCCTTCTCACCCCAGAGCTCTAAGCAGACACACCATGAGATGGGGTAAAAAGTAGTTAAAGCACAGGAAGATAACACAGAATCCTGGCAACACTAAATTCAGTTTATCCTGGAGGACTATTCTGACTTCCCCAAAGCCACCAGTACTTCCTGACCAGGCCTAGTTCAAGTTATACTTAGGGGAGGAAAACAAAAGCATGGGTGTTCATTTGCTGAACAGCCTCTGAAACACCAATGCTCTCCCAGTAACATGAACAACAGGGACACTCCAGGTCTACCAAATCTCCTTTGTAACCAACCATTCTAAGCCTCTCAGACAGACTCGTGTTTAGAAAACTCATAAATAGTCCACAGGTCTGTCCTGAGATTAGCCTTCTAACTTGACTTCCACCACACATGTTTCAGGAAGCAGATGCCTTCTAGATTCCAGATAATGGTTAACAAACGATTTCTGGGAAAAACAAAAGTTTACGTTCTTACCCTGAATGAGGTCTCTTCCAGCCACAATGGGTCCTCCCACCTTGCTGGTACTCCCCTAGGTGGGAGTGCCACCTAGCGTCACTGCAAGGTTCTGCAGGCCCCAGGCCGCTTGGCCACCAGCACCTGTGGACAGGCATCCCACATCACTGATGCCACTGTAGCTCCTGCCTAGTGAATTTCATGTACTACTGTACCAGGGGATGAAGGGAGCAGTAGGGCATGGGTGGCAGGTGCTCTCTGCTAATTCTCATTCCCTGGGGGCTGGCAGAAGCCTCCTAATCAGGGCTGGTGGCTGGTGCAAGAAGCCACGGGCAAGTTAGCAGACTCACAATGTGCCCTCAGGCTATTTCTCCATCTGAAAGCTTCTCCCAGCCCTACCCCCTTGCATTTGCCAGTACTTCTCAGCAGTCCACCAGGAGCTCCTGGAGGAGGGGGCACAGAGCAAGGGTGGTCTGCAGCACAATAAAGGAAACAAAGTGCCTTGTGGTGGAACAGCCTGGCAGAAAGCTCCACACAGGGCCCTAAAGGTATCTGAGCTGGCCATCCTGGACTCCTTCCAGACCCGGAACAGCTTTATATGTACCTCATCTTGATCTTGTTCCTCATCTTCTACAGGCAGAGTCCTCTTCCACAAATCACTCAGAGTTGGCCCTGGGCTGGGGCAGGTGGGAAAGAGGCAAAGCACAACCTAAGCGACCTGAGAGTATGGTTGCCACAGTTCCTCCCAGGTAGGGGCCCTGAAGCTCCTAAGATGCCCTCCTGACCCTGAATGAGCCCAAGATTCTCTGAAGACAGGGCTGGGCTGTCAGTTAACCACACCTGAGCAGGTGAGCAGGATCTACTTCCCTGCCAACTTGACTGCTCACTTTAACATCCGTATTTCCTTAATACCTATTAGGAAGGAAGCAAAACAATAGAGGTATACCTTGGAGATATTGCTGGTATCTCTGCAAATATCGCAATAAAGTCAGTCAAATAAGGTATGCCTGGGTGGTTCAGTCAGTTAAGCATCTGACTCTTCCCCCACTCATACTCTCACAAAATAAAACATTTTTTAAAAACCTTTTTAGGGGTGCCTGGGTGGCTCAGTTGGTTAAGCATCCAACTTTGCTCAGGTCATGATCTTGCGGTTCATGAGTTTGGAGTCCCGCATCAGGCTCTGTGCTGACAGCTCAGAGTGCTTTGGATTCTGTATCTCCCTCTCTCTCTGCCCCTCCCCCACTCATGCTCTGTCCTTCCCTGTCTCAAAAATAAACACTAAGAAAAAAATATTTTAAAAACCTTTTTTAAAAAATCAATGTACATAATTTAAATATACTTTATTGCTAAAACATAGTAACTGTCATCTGAGCTTTCAGCAAGTTGTAGTCACTAATCACAGATCATTGTAACAAACAAAATAATGAACATGTTGAAATACTACGAGAATTACCAAAATATGACACAGAAACACAAAGTGAGCAAACACTGTTGGAAAAATGGTGCTGAAAGACTCACTAGATGCAGGGTTGTCACCAACCTTCAATTTGTAAGAAAAAAAATAAATAAAAAACAAAAAGATGCAATTACCTTCAAAGCACAATAAAGCAAAAGCACCATAAAATGAGGTGTGCCTGTATTTACTGAATTTCTACTTCCTGCCACCATAGAACAAAGTATTTACACATATATCATTCTCATTTAATAACTTTATGAGGGAGTTAATAGTAGCCTGTTTACAGATGAGAAGAACAAAGCTATAGTAATCATAGAAGGTTGTAAAAATTGCGGAATATGTTCAATATTGTCCAGGGTCATGGCCCTGAGTGATACTCAGGGTATGCTGAGTGCAGGCAAATGGGGCTCCAGGCGGGTGGGCAGGAAAAAGGACACAGGGTGATGTGTGGGCACAGACTGATCTGTCCTCCCTCATTCCTTTTCACGAACTGGAATGCTTCAGCATACATTTTTTAAAGTTCTAAACTGAGGCTGGAAATAAGAAAGCATTGCTAATGCAGGGAGTGAGCATGGAGGTGGGCCCAGCTGCTCTTGACTGAGGCCTACTGTCTATGCCACTGATCCCTGAACACCTGAAACCTTGCCACAGGCCCCCATGGCTAGGCCAAAAATGAACAACAAAACCAACTTGTTATGCTCAGATGTGTAATAAAGTATTTAGAGATGAAGTTTCATAATGACTGCAATGTACTTTCAAAAGGTTCAGAGAAAAATAAAAGATCTATATATATACACACAAAGACAAAGCAGCTATGATAAAACACTAACAACTGTTCAAACAAGAAGTGCATGTGTATGTGTGTGTGTACGTGTAACTCTAATCTCTCAACTTTTCTACTCTGTTCACAATGTAAGAATTGGAAGAGTTTGCTTTAAACCACAGAAAATTCCCTAAATTCTATTACTGGGGGAAAAAACCCAAGATCACATTCCACACACAGAGCATTTCCTGCTGTTAGGTGAGGCAGAAGAGCCAGGCCTCTTCTCAGCACCCACTGCAGCTGCTTCACATGGAGGGACTCAGGGCTCAGGGCTGAACTTTTTATCTGCTGTCCACTCAGCCGGGTATATTCAGCACCCTGAAATGCCTGGCTCCAGGCTGGGTGCCTCCAGGTGGGTGCCGGTGTTCAAGCGAGAGCCCTTTGCACCTGACAGGAAAGGCCAGCTGCCAATCCCCACTTGCTCTACACCCATGGGCCTGCCTCTGTCTGTGGAGTCACCTCAGGAAGCTGGCAGGAAGAGGGACAGGAGGACTGCTTCCTCCCCAAAGGGCCCACCATTTCCAGCAGGCCAGCTTTCCCACCACATGCACCTCTGGTCCAGCAGTCAAGGAAGAAAGGACACCTTGGAAATGCTGCAGACCAAAAGGAGTCTGCCACCAGATGTCATCCTGCATGGAACTCAAATAACCTAGGTGTTCAAAGGAAGCCTTGGAGTCACCACGCTGCACAGGTGTGCACTGTAAACTTTAGGTTTACAGATGCGACACATTTCGACCCCTCTTGTTAACAAGTGCCTATGAAGGTTTGGGTTCCCTTTTTGATAATGAGGACAAAAGGACAATGAGGACACAAGGACAACATATCTGGAATCACAACTGCCACACAAATCCAGAACACGTGACAGCTGCAGGCACACCTGGTTGTCTTCTCTCCCCTGTGC